AAAATAAAGAAATAGAGTTGTAACTAAAACTTGGGGATCTCTTTTAAAAAAAGACCTTTTCAAACAAATCTGTAGTTGCTGATGTAACGCTATGACGCTTTTTTCGCTTAACCTTCAAATAAAACGTTTCTTCTATCATTAGTGTTGAAGCTAAAACGTTTCAAATGAACTTAAACAATTGTCCAACTCGAATTCTATTATACCGTACAATTGAGAGAGAGTCATACTGGCGACAGCGGTTTCACATCGATTTCTCCCAATAATACAGCACCAATTGCAGTGTTCAGAAGCTTTTTCACGGATGAAATTTTCAACCTGATTGTCGAATAAACAAACATTTACGGAAAACAGAAATTTCAAAGAAAAAGTGATCGGTGGAAGGACGTGGGAGTCAAAGACATTGAATCATTCCTTGGGATAATTATTGTAATGGGAATCAATGACTTGCCACGAATGAAACTTTACTGGAGCAAAGACAATATTTTTCATAATGGTTTCATCTCCGCGATTATGTCGAGAGATCGCTTTCTCCAAATCTTTTGTAATTTACACCTTGCTGATAATTCTCTGGAGCCAAAAAAGGGATCGAACAATTATAGTAAAATTTACAAAATTAAGGAAGTCATTGAGATTTTGGTTGCAAATTTCCAGAAGAATTATAAGTTTGGTCGTCGTGGATCGATCGACGAAACTATGGTGAAGTTCAAGGGAAGATCAAGTCTCAAACAATATTTACCTGCAAAACCGATAAAGAGAGGCTATAAAATTTGGTCTTTATGCGATTTCATTACTGGTTACTTATTCAATTGTAGCGTTTACCTCGGAAAAGAAGATGTTGTTGACAACGAAACACTTTTGGGTGACCGTGTTGTTTCGACTCTTATCGGTGGTCACAATTTCGAAAGAAAACATCTGTACTTCGATAACTTCTTTACTTCTCTTTCATTGTTAGATAAGTTAAAACTGCGAAGAATAAGTGCCGCCGGCACTATTCGAGCCGATCAAGTTGGCATTCCGTCGCAATCTGCTTTGAAAGAGAAAATGGAACGAGGTGAACACAAATCAATCGTCACATCAAACTTTGTTATCTTCAAATAGATGGATACGAAGCATGTCTTTCTAGCGTCAAACGACTGTCAAAACACTGGGATCGTTAGAATATTTCGACGATTGAAAAATAGACAGCAAATCGGAATTGACTGTCCTAAAGCGATCAAGGACTACAACAAATTTATACGTGGTGTTGATCGACTCAATCAAAGAATATCCTGCTACTTGTTTGATATCGTCAGTCCCTGTTAAGGTGGCGTTTTTCTGACTTCTCAGGGAAAGAGTATTTTCTCCACTCTCAATACATTATAGTATACGGATGATAAATCAGTCATGAATGAACCACCATGTGGAACCAATGAATTAATTGAAGGTATCATTATGTTTTTAGGTGAAGATCAAAAGTCTTTGATTAGTGTACGGCTATCATAAAAATAAAAATATAACAAATAATATTGCGGATTGAATGACAAAACTAATAACAAATTTAAAGAAGCAGCGTCTTTCTTTTAAGTATTATTTATTATGATCATTCATGAAGCTGCCGCAAAATCAGTCCGAAATTTTAATCACGCGATAAATTATAACAGTGGTAATATACCCATTTTTGTTAACTATTTCAATTAAATATGATTTGGCTATAAACAGGCATGCATCATTACAATATACTAGTTCTCACAGGTATTACTATAAAACTCTCGTCCATCTTTGGGAACTTAACCCAAATATAGCAGAAGGTTCAGACGAGTGTCTTGATTCTTTGAAAGTCTACTATACAATCTGTAGAAAACTGGTGGAAAGAGTTGAAATACAGATTTTAGTACTAATTCTTCCGGTTGATGAATTGTCAGTAGAAATAATTAATAGATGTCAAAGAAATGCCATACCATTCACTAATCGGCCTAAATGAGTGTTTTCTTGTGATCTGGGTACTCTTAAAGGACGTATGGTGAAAATGAGTTTTCTCCGTTCTATATTTTAAAATTTTATTCTACCGATGTACACTGGGTCGAAAAAAATTATCGACCTGCTTTTATTTTAATTTTTATTTTCAACCATAATACCTAGAACAAACGAGCATGGCGAATAAGCTAGAAAATTATTCCACAATAGAATCGATGTTTTCCGATTACAAACATGTCAGGGTGTCTCTAGAAACCTTTTCCCCCACTTAGTTCCACAAAGCTGCAATATGACTTTTCCGACACCCTTAGTCCACCTCCTCAAGACATCTGTAGGTCGTTTTTCCTCACATTTTTTGGACGACACATGAGTTGCATGTGGAATTGTACGTTATTCACGAATAAATCCCTTCAAAAGTGAAAAAAGTTGAATTTTCATGGAGATTACTGTACTTTTGTTGTCAGAAGATACCACCAGGCATTTTTCAGTTTTTGGCCTCTAATAGCCAAAACTGGAGTATAGAAAACTGTCTGCTTGATATCAGTTTCTTATTGTTTCAGGCTTTCCTTGAGTTACGATGGAAAAGGTACAATGAAAACTTTTTGCAATTCTCGCCGCTATTTTACCTTTTCCCACCACTTCGCGTTCCCACTACCACCAGTCCTAGTTTAGTCAATATTATCGGATCAGTACAGAAATTTACAATTCACACTTGCTGATTTGTGTTATTTAGACCATGCAACAGTTTCGATAGAAAAACACGAAGAACAAGGGATTAAGCACTGCTCAGCTTTGAAGTAAGCGTCAGACATAGTGATCCTCTTGGTTCTGATTTAGCCATCAACAGTATCAAGTATGCACCGGTGTTAATATATCGAACACGGATCAGTGTACACCGAATCACCGAAAAACATTTAAAGATGTGAAATGATTTTAGACCAGTTTTGGATGAATTCAGATAAACAAAAACTTTTTTTGATATTGTCGGTATTTTTAGTGCAACACCCATACCGATGATTACCTAATGTTTTAATGTTTCTAGAATAATAAATTTGTTTAACCCTTTGGGGACGGAATTTTTTTCTGAAGAAAAAAAGCGTAGAAGTCTTTCTAGCGTCAAACGACTGTCAAAACACTGGGATCGTTAGAATATTTCGACGATTGAAAAATAGACAGCAAATCGGAATTGACTGTCCTAAAGCGATCAAGGACTACAACAAATTTATACGTGGTGTTGATCGACTCAATCAAAGAATATCCTGCTACTTGTTTGATATCGTCAGTCCCTGTTAAGGTGGCGTTTTTCTGACTTCTCAGGGAAAGAGTATTTTCCAGCCGATCAAGTTGGCATTCCGTCGCAATCTGCTTTGAAAGAGAAAATGGAACGAGGTGAATACAAATCAATCGTCACATCAAACTTTGTTATCTTCAAATAGATGGATACGAAGCATGTCTTTCTAGCGTCAAACGACTGTCAATATTTATAAATTAATTACCGATTTTCTCCTTGATGACTGTGTCAAAAGTAACAAGTAGGATATGCAATCGATAGAGCACGAAGAGTTCTATCTGGTGCGATCAATAATAGAGTTGGAGCCAGTGAAGAAACGAATCGCCACAAAATGATACGCGACAACGTGTCTCAGGTGACGCATGTTTTAAATCAATGAGTATGTCATCAAAATCATTTACTACACCTTCCCTATCAATTGTAATTAAATAATTACTGTTTAATCGTAACTCAACAGGAACAGCTTTAATAATAAAAACTAATACAGGTGTATAAGCTGAATTTGCAATTGAACGACGAAAGAACACTTGAAATTATCTGTCAGATAACATAACTGGGAAAGATATCCAGTGGAAGAAAAAATTTTTCTTCAGTTCAAAATTTTCTTTTTCGAAAGTGAATGGAATGTAGCAACACGATCTTCCATGGCTTATCGTTTACGCTGTAGTTCGGGTTTACTTGATGGTGAACTTATGTACGTTATCTAACAATTCTAATTATTCTACTGAATATGACAGTCACGTGTTATTACCTACGTAGGACGTGACAAGTCCCGTCAAGTCCAAAGTCCGCAATTTCCCCCTTGACATAACTCCTACCAATTCTTCCATTATGGGTATTTCAGTAGAGTAATTAGAATTGTTAGATAACGTACATAAGTTTACCATCAAGTAAACCAAAACGTAAACCAAAAATTTCCAATCAAAAGGACATTATGATTATCAACTGATGAACATACAAATACAAACAATCAAATACAACACCCGTTTCCATTAGTGACGATGTAATAGTAAAAGTTTGTTTTGGATAAAATGTAAAACCAGTCGTATTCTTTTGATTTTTAACGTTTTTACTATTATTTTCAAGTTTATTTATAAATTTATCGAATAGTAATTTAAATGCAGACTTAATTGTAAACGGTTGTTTATTCTGATGATGTTGATCAAATGTTTGCTTTTAACTAATTCCATTTTTAGGACATCTATTGTCTTTTAGGCATTTACCTGAGGAAGAAAGAAGGAACTCCTATCAGTGAAAATGAACCAGTAGAAGTCTGCTAGCTGTAGATTGATTCTGGCAGCTTCAGCTTACACAGACTCTGTCGATATCGCAGCTTGTATGAAGCACAATTGCAATCTAGTTTTTTTGTTGTCAGTGCTTCATTTTTTTCTTAATGTTAGCACACATGAAACATACTACTGAAAAGTAAAATTCACTGTTTTTTGAAGTTCTTTGTTTTCAACATTCTGTTTTTTTCCTATATTTTAGATAGGAAGTTATCTGTTCTCATATTAGCCACAGTATTGTATTACTTCCAGTCAAGAATTTTTTATTGCGCAAAAAATTCATGTTTTAATCAACATGAGTACTGCATATTTTTATTTATTTAGGTAACTGCTTTTGTGATATGCTGGATTAAATTGCAAAATTTAAGTTCATTTTTTGCATGTATTTCAGCAGGAGAAAAAGATGAAAAAGGTATAACAAACTTTTCACTTGACTTAAAGATCTTTGCGCTGATGTCTTTTTGAAAAGTTTAATCATTATTTCTGGATCCAGATGTATGACCTAAACAAAAAGAGAAAAAAAACACGATCAGTTTGATGTTAAACACAGACCATACATACCTGTTGTCAAAGGAATATTTTCACCGTGAAAAAAACTAATTGTATGTTCTTCTGATGATTTTTGTCGACATTTTGTTTGATATTTGCATGGTCGTAATAAATCTGGTAAGCCCGTATGCCGGAATTCATAACGATGCAGAGGATCGTGTTTTTGTGTACATTGTTGATCATGTCGACATGTAGGAACTTTATGTTCATCATGTGTAAATTGTAAACTATGTTTTCGATCGGCTCTCTCGCGACATATTTCTGAAAAACGACATGGATGTGTATATTTATTATTATGTTCTTCAGCTTCATTTCGTGAATATTGTACTAAACAATGAATTGAATGTCGACAGACTGGATTCTGAGATTGCTTTTCTTGTTCCGGTTTTTGCTCATCGGATGAATCTGGCTTTCTCTGTTGTCCTTGTTGATGTTGCTGCTGCTGCCGATGAGGTTGATACTGTTGTTGTAAGGGGTGAGTGTACTGCTCGTGCGGCTGAGCATATTGTTGTTGATCGGCTTTACTTCCAAATAGACGTTTCCATATTCGGTGAAAAAACCCGGGCTTCTGTTTACTTCCATCCATGCGTTGTAAATTAATTCCTGCTGGTGCTGCTACTAGTTTTACGACAGGCTTAGTTAATTCTTTGATTGCCTTAGATTGATTTTTTTTGTTTTTTCCATATGGTTGTTCAGAATCTGACTCATCTTCGTCAGGATTGACTTCCATTTTAAATTGTTTATCCATTGTTAGATGTAAATGTTGTAATTGTTCAAATTTAATGAAAACATTTTGTATTGATATTGTTTGTGAAAACGATTGAATTTGAATATATTGTAATATTCTGAGATCTAAATTTTGTCTACTAAATTTATGTTCTAATGGTGAATGACTGTAGATGCCATTGACACCAGCATGAGCAAGTGATACGCGTCCTGTATGATATTGAATTGTTAAACAATATTGAATGTAATCGTCTGTATTACAACCTTTGTGAAAATGGTTTGATGTTGCCAGAAAACTTTTCTTTTGTAAGACGCCTTCATGGGTTAAAGGTGGCATATTATTGATATACGAATTTGTTTCATAATATTCATCGGATCCGGATACATTTGTTGATGGCATTGGTGATACGTAACATGTTAAATATTTCAGATTTGATTGTACTTGTTCACTATTAATTCGTTCATTTGTCAGAATCAACATAAAATCACCATCTTTTATTTTAAAATATATATAGACTGTATCATTAGATAATTTTTTATTATTTGCTGTGGCTAATGCATGTTAGTATGATTGTGATATGGTCTGAGGTATATGTACGTGTTGTGCAGCGGGTACCGTAATATTGATACCTTTTGGGTTTGTATTACTATTATCATTGGGAACATTTCTTGCCCGTATGTTAGTTTTTTTTAACAATTGTTGAAAGATGTAGTCATGATAGTTTGTTCGTGTTGTATCTGGTGGACCGAATTGATTAGGTGCATTTAAATCAACAATATCATTCGTTATCATTACTCGGTTTTTAAATACATGATTTTGTGAATTTTGTGCATCTTTATTCAATGAATCAAAGACATTTTTTGGCATAAATACTTGTTCAACATAGGATAATGGTATCAGTTGTGGCAAATGTCCTTCAATAACTTGATGTGAATCGCATGATTTATAATATTGTATTATATCATTTAAATCAACATTCATTGTTTTCTTGTCTCTACCAGCTAATGCCATCAATTCTAATCCTGTAACATATTCATAATCATCTAATGCGCAATGCATTTTTGTTGAATGAAAATGATTGATGTGACCAGCATCAGTGCCTGGATCACTCAACCATGGGCGCAATTTATAAACGTTACGACTTACAAAACCTGTTCCAGCTTGCATTGTAAAATTAAAATCTGGATGTAACAATAATTCAGGTTTAAATACAATAACAATATCACCATAATACCATCCTGTATGCGGCCCCAAAATACTGAATACATGTTTATTTGTTTCTAATGCTTCATCTGCTTCATATCCAATTCCCGTTGGACTTTGATGTAATTTTATTGAATCTTTGACTATTTCAAGTGTTTTACGTTTAATTGCTGCGATATCATTGTTGGAAAAGAAAGACGTCAAAGCATGTTCCATCTTTGGTATTAATAATAAGTTTTCTTGTTGATTACGATCATACCGTGGCTCTTGTTTATCATCTGTTGTACGAATATTTTCTTTTTGAAATTCTATTTCAACTATGGCTTTAATATACTCCTTAACTTGTTTTTGTATTGCTGGAATACTTTCCTGATCTAATACTTTTCTAATTCGACTGTGTTGTATAGACGTATGTGTAACAAATTCTGGTAGTTTCAATTTTTCCATATACGATCGGCCCATGACATGACCATGAAGTAAGATGGATTCAAATATTTTTGGACTACAACGATGAACAGCTTGTAATGAGCGAATCCAATTTAAAATATTTTTGTCCAACCGTTGTACATTTGACCAGTTTTCGTTCAATGTATTGAAACATACGTTTTCATGGTTTGCAATATATTTTGATAATTTTGAGCAAAATTTATATTTTTATTTAAATCAAAAAATTTTGCAACACCTTAAAATAGATAGAATTAAGTTAGACGTAATAAAGAAAGAATCAGTCTCTTTTGCCCTCTCCTCCGAGAAATAACTCACCTAAATAATCTTGTTTTATGTTATGACGATATCTTGCTAAATGCTTTAAATCTCTTGTCTGTTTGCATTCTGTATCAGAATGGTTACACAATAAACGTATATCTTTAATACCTAAATGTGTAAATGAATTTAAATGTTCTTCATCTTGCAACTGTTGGCAATTATTACTGTTTGGACAGAGCATTCTTGCAATATGTATTGTTATTTTCAAATGCTGTGCATCCTTAATATTACGGCATTGTCATCCCCACGGACAAACATGGGAAGATAGTAAACAATGCTCTTCTAATCGGTTCTTTTCATCTTTATCAGTAATACGTGCTTCTTCTTGTCTATATTTAATAAATTGTTTACATGAAAATGGTGTCAGAGAACATGGTTGATTGAATGGATGCACTTCATGTTGAAAATGTTGCGGATTATGAAAATTATGAAAATTATTACCATATTCACAACTTAATTTACAATGACGATATTTTTGACGATGCTCAACGACTCCTCTTAAATACTCTTTACACATTAAACCAGTCGGACATAACGGCAAATGTCGATGCGCTCTTAAATGGTTTTTTTTCATATTAGTACAGCGACCACCCTCGTGACAATAATCGGGATGTACATAATCTTGAAGATGCTTTTGATCGGTTTCGGTACATTCACCACCAGCTGAACATTCGTGTAGATGGAAAAAAAATTGTGTATGTACATCATCATAATCCAAGGGATGACATTCAGTGCCATAAGGACATAAGGGTGGATGTGAAAATTGTCGACAATGTTTCTGATCATTTATATCTTTACAATTAGCTGCATGATAACAAGGAGATTTGTCACCAATCACAAAGGCACTGAGCATTAAATTATCATTATTCATTTTTTTACCAACAATTCGATATGGACCAATCATCATGCCAACCGATGGTTCAGTACATTTTTTAAACTGTAAACCGTCTAAAGCGTCTTTAAATGGCAGGAAATTACCATCGGGATTTATCTGTTTTCCTAAAACAAACAGAAAAAGAAAAGTAACAAAAATTTTGGGCTGTAAGACTAGAAAATATATGCAACTTACCTGTGTTATGACCATCAACAATAGCAAATATAATCTGTTTAAAAAATCCAGCATATTGATCGATAACAGATTTAAATAAAAGAGCAATATGTTGGGGTGGATTTTTAAATGCGCCACAACCCATTGCTGATAATACCAACGAATCATGGCCTTGAATATGAGCGATGGCAAATAAATTTTCAATTTTTTTACGCGTACCTTTTAAAAAAGACAAATAGAAAGTACTATATCTATTAAGAATAAAGTGTTAACCGAAAAAGATGCATACCACATGCTTTTTTTATTTCCAATCGCTTATTGTTTTGTAATGGCGGATCACGGTATGCGGCTATTGCTATGGCTTTGACATCATTTAATGGTGTTGATAAATAGGAATACCCTTTATCTTCTGAGTCACGGAAAAATGTTATACCAGACGTATAAATACATCCAAATTCATCCATTGGATACATTGATTGTTTTTCTGACATTTTGTCTAAATAACAATTTGACGAATGTTTAAAACGTGCTGATTGATTTGCTGTAATTGCACTTGTTGTTGTATCCCATGCATAATCTAGACTAAGATAATAATCTGAACGTCGAAAGTAGAATAAAGACAACTTTAAAAACCAATTCGTCTCCGCCCACTCTGACATTGAGAAAGGTAGGTATGGTGTTTATGTAATTTTTTAACATGAAAATGGAATGGAATAATCTTTTCCAAGACGACAGGATGAGTTTCAAAACGTGAGCTGATTTGATTTTTTGGAGTTTTTCTTTTATCCTAAACAAACCATTGCATGATAGAAACGGCTTTGACTGCGAAATGATTTCGTTAGATTTAAATAAATCATTTACAGCAAACTCAGTTACCTTCAACTTAGATATTTAAAAAGTCTTAGTACTAAAACTTATTCGTGATAACAAGAATTTTTACCAACTTCAACGTCTGTGTGCATCCACGCCTCCAGATTTACATCGACCTCGAGCCGCCAACTTTTCTTTATGTTGTGTTTGTAGCCCGTGTCGAGTTGTGTACGAAGTTATATTTATTTTGTCTTGTTGAATAATATAAAATCGATTACCGCGTTACCACAAACTACTGAACTCATTCTAAAAGGGTCAATTAATCTCACCCCAAAACAAAACATCCTTATTGTAAATAATGTCCATAAATACATAGTTGACACTAAAAAATTCACTGAACACTCTTTACTTCTTGTGCTACTCTATTTTATTGTTACAGGTAGAGCGGAAAAGTTTTTTGTATATTACAATCCTCGTTAAATAAATTAAACTAACTATATTTGTTTCCTCTACAAGTCAAGTCCCACGGACATGGTGATAGTCTAATTCTCAAAAATTCGCCCACCGCATCAGCCATTTTTGTCTGAAATAATTGTTTTGAAAAAAATCTGATTTAATCACTCCATAGAGCTCAAAAACTTGTACATGAGACGTCTTCCAGCTCCACCTGATGTTTACTTACGGAGATATTTTAGATAGAGACTTTCAAGTTTCTGAGTATGCTAAGACTAACATCTCAGATTAATATAAATAAAATATATAAATAAATAAACACCGGGTGGAGCTGGGAAAGAGTATACTCTTTTGTAAATTCCGGAGTATCTTCCAGAACCTATAAATTAGAACCAAACCAAGTTATAGACTTGTATCATTAAAAAGAGCATAACTCAGGCTTCATTTTGACTATAAATAAATATACGTTCCATAGGTTCTTGACTGTTTGGTAAGCAATTTAAAAAATGGTGTTTTTTCATTGATTTTCCTAGGATTTTCAGAGAGTCATTCAACTAACTTTAGAGTTCGAACCAGAAAAATTACCTTTTCACGTACAAGTTTTTGAGTTCTATGGAACGATTAAATCAGAGTTTTTCAAAACAATTATTTCACACAAAAACTGCTGATCCGGGGGGGGGGGCGAGCAAATTTTTGAGAATTAGATCATCGCCATGTCCGTGGGACTTGACTTGTAGAGGACACTAATATAGCTTCGTACACAACTCAACACGGGCTACAAACACAACATAAAGAAAAGTTGGCGGCTCGAGGACGATGTAAACCTGGAGGAGATGCGTGGATGCACCTATCTTCGATTTTGCGGCGCAAACATGATTTTTTCCTCCATATGTCTCGGCCAATGATGATATTTTGTGGTTTCACATTTTCTATAGACGTACAAGTCGATGAACTCGATGTATCTGTTCATCGACATTTTATTTTATATTCTCTTACCTTCTGCGTGGAACTTTATTCTTCCCTTGCTTTTTTTCTTCTTCAAATAGATCTGTGAATAGATCTTGTTGAATTTGAGGTCGTGCCTTTCTTCAAATTAAAAATAGCTTTTTAAAAAATAAACTTACCAAATTTTCTTCTTGTGCTCCATCACCTTTTCTATAACCACCGCCAGGACTTGTGGCATTAGCCATATTCAATAACAATGGCTTACAGCCCTGATTAACCAGGTTTTCATAAACTAGCACAGTTGATGATTCTTTATTAAAATCTATATAAAATAATTTTTTAAATCGAGCAGTCTCTGTTGATAAAACATCTATTGTTGTTCTATTTGCTTTATTCGATGATATTAGTTGTTGATACAATTGTTCGGCTTGTTGTATACATTGCTCTGCTTGCCTTTGTACTTCTTGTTCCGACATTTCCAATTGCGTTATAATAAATGAAAATAATAATAAGTCAATTTTTTTAAATTGTGGTGGAATGGATTTCGTAGGTAAAGTTTCAAAATAGGAACAATCGGCATGAGCACATATTCGAACACGTAAATCATTAATAATAAGTCCACCATGGTGTAGTGTTTTTAGTAGATCATCAACTGAATATGATTTGACTTTGAAAATATTTGGATATTGCATTGAAACCATTTCACATTGGGATGACCGGTTTGATTTTGATATTTCTGACCAACGTTGCCATATTTCATCCACTGTTGGTAAATCTTGTTTTTCTTGCTCTTCTTGTTTTGGACCATCAACAACACGGTAGGATATTAATTCTATTTCTTTGACGAAGTTAATCGTTGCTGACGATGATGATACTGTTGTTGGTAAAACAATTAGTTTAACCTTCTCTGTTAGTTTTATTTTATCTTTTGAATGTTCCAAATAAATAACACCAATGCCAATTTCTGTTATACATTCAATCCGTTTGCACTTAATATCGTTAGCATTTTGAAGGTAGTTTGATATTCTACTTTCCAAGTCTGAATCTGGTTCATCTGGTGGTAAAACGGGTATGTAAACAATATGTTCGCCTTCCTCATTTGATGTTGTAATACTAACGGTTGTTGGTGATATTGTCGTTGCTCTTATGGTTGTAGGTTTTGAACTTTGTTGTTGTTGGTGGTGCTCTTGAAGATTTTGGGATTTTTGTTCATCTGAATAATGAAAATTTAGTTGTAGTTTTAATAAGGTTAGCCCCAAAACTAATGAAAAGTTAAAGGAGAAAAAACAGAAAGTATAAGACTTCAAGCTTGTACTATAGACAGAGATGTTTTCTCTACTTTTCCTGTAAAAATAGGAAGATTAGATGTTTTCAAGAAAAGCTAAAAATTCCTGATATATTTAAAGAAAGCGAACGTTTGCAAGGAGGTTTGATCGGGGGTACTTCCGCACAGGGCCGCCCAGTATTACATGAGCTAAAAGCCGGGAAGGTTTGACTATATGCAATCGATAGTCCTACTAAAGGTATGTAAAGCGCACTGTCAGCCCAAGGAAAAATTATTCCGAATACGGTTTTTCCTCAGCCATAAGTTCTGAATTGAAGCGTTTTTAGGGGTGCCAGAACAGCGAAATCTGACCTTATCTGGTCCTATCAAGCGTTCTCATATTACTAGCTGGAAAGAGCATACAAAGTTGCATATTTCTATCCGCAAATGAGATTTTCTCTTCTGACATTAGGAAAGAATTTTTGACTGGAGGACCTTAACTGCATTAGCAGGTATCACTCGTTTTACAGCACGCTGGACGAGCTCAAAACGCAACAAAGCATAACTTTATTTATATTCAAATGAAAACGGCTTCCAAGTTTGTTCATATGATGCAACAATGAAGTCTCTAGCACTTTTTACTTCTTTATGGTAAGCGTAGCCGTGAGACCTACTTTGGCCCTTTCCGGTCTCCTCCCTCGAAAACTACCCGTTGGTTCTTCGAGATCTTGTTAGTCCACACACTACTCAACTAGTGCTATAAAAGGCACAAGGTATTGACTTTGGCCAGATGGTGTTTCTTGTGACGGTTTTCCAGAAATCCCGTCAAAATCCTCAGTTACTAATACATATTGACTCTGAACTAAGTCGAAATTCGGATGCAGCATGTCATTTTATGAGTAATTTAGTACTTTTTTCCGTTCCGGACCCTAGTCAGATGATAGGATTTTGACGGGATTTCTGGAAAACCGTCACAAGAAACACCA